TATATATATATATATATATATATATATATATATATATATATATATATATATATATATATATATATATATATTCAAAAAACAGTTTATGTGAGTGTGGAATCATCATTTGACAAATGAATAAAAAAATAAGATTTTATAGGAATATCAAGATTCTTACCTTTTCCTGGGTTGACTGAATCAGGTAAACTGTCCCAATCTAGGGCCCATTTAGGACAAGGATGAGGAGAAAACATTGCTTCAATCCCTTTTTCCTGCATTTCAAAGAAAAGAAAGCATCAATTCAGAAATCTGCTTGAAATTCAAAATACTTTATCTGTACAATGTAAAGCATTATGAATTAATGATATCCTGATATTGGTTGTATTTGAAATACAGGACTATTATAGACAAATTATGTCCTGGCTTTTCTATCTATCGAAGTAGATGCCCCAGAAAAGATTTACACTTGAGCTATCTAAATCTGGCATTGTTTTCTTACAACAGGAACCAAAATATTTTCTGTTCAAATCATCACTCAGTTGGTGCTCAAATTATGTTTCTGCTTTATAAAGTATAGAAATTTAAGTTCAAATAAAATATTTTTATCACTTAAATGGATGCAGTTATGTAATTAAGCAAGTAATACTTTTCTCCTCTTCCATTATAGTACAAGAATTTCTAAAGCAACCCAAACTCAACCCATTTTCTGGTTAAAGTTTCATTGTCATTGATGCAGAAACAAATTATTTTATTTTGCAGTGAATAATTTCAGAAAAAACTAAAAACATTGCAAACATGATAAAATATCATCAATTCTCCAAAATATGTTTTCTCATAAAAACTTACTTACTGGCAAGTTCTTAAAACATAAAGAAATATTTTTATAGTTAATATATGTAACCTAATAAAATTAATTACCTACCATTAATTTTGTTATTGTTGGTCTTGGTCCACCTATAAACTGAATTTCCTCTGGAACATTTTCTGGCTCTTTAAAAGCTGTGAAAGTATTCTGCTGACATTCATTTGGTAAAGGGTGTAATCGACAATCCAGGATATTTTTTATATTGCATTTGACAGTGGCTTGCTTTATTCCAGGTACTTGTAGAACCCTTTTGTACCAGCTCAATATTAAAGGCAGCTGTAATATGTTGTTTTGGTGTTTCTTGCAGGCAGCCTTAAAGTGATAAATGAAAAGTTTATGCCCTAATTTAATATACAAAGAGTGCCTTTCGTACTATATATATATATATATATATATATATATATATA